AAACTTCTTACAGAGACTATACCTTGGTTTCACAGAATTCTTAAGCCACCCTGAGTGGGTTACTTCTACAAAAGACTCAGCTCATCCATTTATATTTGATTTCCCCCCAATTTTACTAGAAGGGTAACATCTCTAGGGGAGACCCTGCCCTCCCACAGTGCCTGCAAATACTCAAATGTACACAAAGATCAGGGGGGAGGCTCATTTACTCACATTTACAGGCCACCCATTATATTAAAGGGACTGTGCCAGACACTTTGGGGACTGTAAAACTTAATCAATTTGGGCCCACACTCGAGTTGCTGGAAGTCCAGTTAAAGATGAAGCATGTACAAATAAATGAGCAATCCAGCCAGGGCAGAAGGCACAGGGAAACATGTGAGGGCTATACAGGGGGAAGAGAGAGCATAAAGTTTTCCGTGCCAAGGCCTTCAGAGGAAGGTTAGAGACGTCCTGGGGGGTGGAGTAGGATCCACCCTGCTCCTGTTTAGCAAGCCTGACTTGCAATGGGCCTTGAAGAACTGACTGCACACTTTTAACAAAGTGAACAGGCAGGTGAGGGCATCTACAGAGAAGAGAGGCAGGGCTAACAAAAGAGGGTGACGGAAAACAAGTTGGAAAGGTAGGCAAGGGGCCAAATCATGTGCAAACTCAAATGCCCGATCTCAACTTTATTCTGAAGGTGATAGAAGACATCGGAAGGTTTTTAGACACTTAAGACAAATCAAGATGCATCAGATAAATTTAACAAAGATTTGGAATAAAAGCCTTTTTTTTTTTTTTTCATTTAATGCTGCGAGATAAATTCCAGTTCCATCACTTGTGTGCTGAGACCTCGGTCAAGTCACTCCAGCTGCCGGAAGCCCGGGCTCTCACCTTTGTAAAGTGGGAGTGAGAATCTCCGCCCCGCCCATGTCACAGGGCTGCTGAGGATTCAAAATTGCAATGAGTGTGGGCCGTAAGAGCACCGACCAAAGGTGAGGGCTCTAACCCGCCCTCATCTCCTATCCGCGGCCATCCGCTCGGCGAGCTCAAAGGCCCCTTCCTCTCACCGCACAGGGCCTCCCAACCCATCCCCCCGCCGCGATGAGGCTGCTCGGATCAGAAAACTGCACCCCGGGAAGGCTAAGCCCGGTCCCTAAGGCCCGAGGCCCAGGGCCGCCGGCTCGAGCAGAGAGGCGGCTGCCGGAGCAGAGGGGCCAGGCGCTGGGCTATTTCGGGGACGATTGAGCAAAGGAGGCTCCGCGCCTCTACGGCCCTCTCGATCCTACGAGTCAGGCTAGGCTGACCAGGTGCCGCCGAAGGCCACAACGCGAGCCCCTCGGCCCCTGAGACTACCCCGCGACCCTGGCGACCCCCTCCCCAGCCGTTCCCGGCCACGCGGCCCGAGCGCGGGAGCCAGCACCTAGCCGGCCGAAGCCGCCCGCCCCTCTCCCGTTAGGCACACAGCTCATTGGGCCGGACGGCGAGCCACCTCGCCCCTGATTGGTGGGGAGTGGTGTCTGTCACCCCGACAGTGGGGCTGTCCCGCGCCGGCCTCAGTTCACACGGCTGACTCCCGCTAGGGAGAACAGTTCCCCAGGGACTCCTGGAGTCAGCCTACCTGAGACCGGCTCCAGATCCTTCGGTCCGCAACAGAGCTAAGAGGCGACGCGCGCGGAGACCCTGGCAGCCAGCGAACGAGCCCAGCCGCATGCGCCGGCTGTCTTTAACGGAGGCGGGCTCTAGGCGGCGCGCACGCAGAGGGCGGAGGGCGGAGGGCGGGGCGGGCCCTGGAGGGCGCGGGGCGGACCCGAGTGCGCAAGCGCAGGGCGGCCGTGGCCGCCGGACTTACCCGGCTCGGTGGGCTTGTGCTGCTGCAGGCTGCGCTAGGGTGGGCCGATTGTGGCGTTTCTGCCTCTCAGCTTTTGTCCTAGCCGATGGTCCAAGCTTCCTCTCTTGAGGGAGGAGGATGTTTTGTGACTCACGCCTGGCAAATCCGCCACCTGGCTTCAGCTCCCCCCCGCAGTAGCCCTCTGAAGTCGTGTGGCCACGTTCTGTCGGGGCTGCGAGCTGATTGCCCCTCTGATAGCTGTACACGTGCGCCCCGCGAGCTCCTGGCGGTGCCCCCAACCGGCCCCTCCCGCCGGGCGGAGGGACGTCGGTAGTGTCACCAGGCCGCTAAGACGGAAGTCCCACAGGGCCGCTGATGCGCGCCTCCCTCTGCCCCACATCTGCCCTGACTGGAGGCTGCTTTAGAAAAAGTGACTTTGCAACTGAGACTTAAGTTGACCCGCGAAGATAAGGAAGGGGGAGGCGAAAAGAAGAAAGCGAGGCCAAAGGAAAAGGCGGTGTAAAGGCTCAGAGGCCTGGACGAGCCCACCGCAGCTAAGTTGGAAGGCCAGAGTGGCTTGAGTGGAGAACGCTAAAGGAAGAGATTAATGAGAGATCAGGCTGAAAAGGTTGGCAGGGGCTTACTATGCAGAGCATTATAAACCAATTTAAGCATTTAACTCCTAAGAATAGTGGAAAGGCAGAGAGTGCCATAGAGGGACTCTGAAAAGTTTCTATAGCTTTCCGGTGACCTTAGGAGTTAAATGCTTAACTCGGTCTATTATATACATATACAAATGACATGACATATATATATATATATATATATATGCAAATGGTTCGTTATTTTGCCCCAAACATTTACATAAGGGTGTCCATGAAGAGACTCTTTCCTCTGTACCCCAGTGTTCCCTAGAAGCAGTTTGACCCAAGTTCTTATGTCTTCACTGAAGGAGTTAAAGGTGTAACGTGATCAGTTTTGCATTTCAGGAAAATTTTCAAACATGAATTACAAGAAACCAGGTAAGGAAGGTCCTTCAGTGGCCTCTTTTTGAGGTTTCTGGTTCCTTACAAATCCAGAGAGATCACCACTGCTTCTTCCCTGACAGCCTGCCCAAGCTGCCTTCAATTCCAAATCTAAAAGATGTTTGGAATGTCTGTGAAGGTGCTCTAGGGTCACATCTTCTTCGAGAAAGCATATGAAGGATCAGCGTGGTGGCTGACACCTGTAATCCTAGCACTCTGGAAGGCCAAGGCCAGCTGGTTGCTTGAGCTCAGGAGTTCAAGATCAGCCTGAGCAAGAAAGACCCCATCTCTTTAAAAAAAATTAGCCAGGCATTGTGGCAGTACCAGTAGTCTCAGCCACTGGGGAAACTGAGGCAAGAGAATCACTTAAGCCCAAAAGTTTGAGCTTGCTGTGAGCTAAGATGCCACAGCACTCCACACAGGGCACAGAGTAGACTCTCTCAAAAAATAAAATGAAATAAAGAAGCATTTGATGGTTATCAAAGTGCTTGGGACATAATAGACACTGACAACATTCCTGCTGAAGCATTGAAGATGTGTAGGAGATACACAGTGAGCCATTCATCCTATCATTCCTCCAGATCACCACTTGACCTTTTCTTCTCCGTCCTCAAACCCCTGCCATCTCTTCTCTATTCTCTCTCCACTGCTGGTCTTGCTTCTTTCACAGAACAAGTGCAAGCTGTGAGGAGAACCTCCATGTTTGTCCGCACGTGTGTCTGTGCATGCAAGCTCTGCCTTTTCTTTTGTGGACAAATCTGCTTTGAGTGCCATATCCACTCATCAACTGAAGAGAGCCTAGTAGTTTTCCCCATCCTGTGCCATCAATTTTTCCCTCTCTGCTAGATTAGGGTGGTGCAAACTTGCTGCAGTTTCACCCGTTTTGAAACAAAACCCCTCTCTTGACTCTATCATTCTCTAGCTACCCCTCCCATTCTGTGTCAGTTCTCAGTACAACTCCTAAAAACTATTATCTGTCCTTGCTGTCATCAATTTCTTCCCTCTCTCTTAAACTCATTCCAGTTAGGCTACTGCTCGTGTCATTAAGGAGCCTCCGTGTCCTCAGACCTCTTTGCTGTGCATCAGCCTGGACTCTTAATGACTGTTCACAAGTCCCATGCTCCTGTCTCCACCTTGGGCATCGTCTTTCTGTGGGTTTCTGGGTATAGTCATACTGCCCAGAGCCTGCCCCCAAACTGACCATTTCCCAAACAGCGCAGGTGGTCACCTTCCTCTTTAGAATATGTTCTTTACTTGGCTTCTAGGAAACCACTTTCTTCCAGTTTTTTCCTATTTCACAGACTTCTCTTCCTGGGTCTCCGTCCTAAGTCCTCTTCCTCTCCCTCACCTGTAAACATTGCTGTGCCCTAAGGCTCAGTCTAGGATCTCTTCTCTGTCTACAGTCACTCTAGATAACCTCATCCAGACGCTATAAACATGAAATACCATCTATTCTTATAACACCCAAATTTACATTCCTTTTGTTTTGTTTTGTTTTTTGAGACAGAGTCTCACCATATTGCACTCGGTAGAGTGCCGTCGTGGCATCACAGCTCACGGCAACCTCAAACCCCTGAGCTTAAGTGATTCTCTTGCTTCAGCCTCCCAAGTAACTAGGACTACAGGTGCCAGGTAGTCCTAGTTACTTGGGAGGATTTGAACCCGCCAGCCCTGTTATATGAGGCCGGCACCCTAGCAGCTGAGCCACCAAATTTATATTCCTAACCTGGACTTCTCTCCTGAACTCTAAATGCATTTCAGAGCACAGGTGCTGAAATCAGCCAGACACCTTACCTTCAGGTGGGCCGACTCTGTGTGACTGGCTTCGTGCTTGGCAAACTTTCTATAAAAGGTCAGATGGTCTCTGTTGTAACTACTCAACTCTGTCCTTCATAGCATAAACATAAAGGAAAGTTCCATAATATATAAAAGAAATAAATATGACTTATTCTAATAAAGCTGTGTGTGACTGGGTCCCACTAAAACTCTTATTTACAGAAACAGATTTGGTCTGAAAGCCTCAGTTTGCCAAACCCTGAGCCAGACACATCTTTGTCTTGCTTCTCCCCAGCCTTGTGCTCGTCTTACTCTCTCAAAGGCCTCACCGGAGATCATGTCTCAGTCATTCACTCACCCAAGAACCCTACCTCAGGCTTTGTTCTTGGAGCACCCAGTCTAAGACGGGCACCTCCTGCATGTCCATGGCACACCCGATGCTTACCCTACGTGCTTATCACAGCATCTGTTTACTCTTCCACACCAGATTGGAATCACTTTGAGGTGCTTAACCTTTTTGTGCCTCAGTTTCCTTATCAGTCTTGTTGACCTTTTTATAAGCAGCATCTAACATATTTAATTCCCACTATTACCCAATAATGCAAATGCCATCATTATTACTATATTACAGATGATGAAACCAAGACTGAACACGCATAAACACCTGTCTGAGAGTACACATGAAGGTTCACCTTGAACCCTTTTTCTGTTTTTGCCCCCTTCATTCTGCCCACTGCTGAATCCTGCTTAGTGTTTTTTCACCAAGTCTTCCTTGAGTGACTGTTTCCACTCACATCAATACATTGTCACCCTAGTCTAGCATTCTAATAAGTTATCTGGGTAAAAAATGGGGCAAGAGGGAGACTGGTACTAGTGACAAATTTATTGGAATTTTTGCCCATAGATTTATTTTAAATTTACATTTCATTAGCCTTTAGTAAATATATAAATAGTACAAAATTCAAAAGAAAGAGAAGACAGTAAAAACTTCCTTCCCATGTACCCTGGCCATCCAGTGTTTCTCCCAGGAGTAACCACTATTCCCCATTTCTTGTTTATCCTTCAAGAGTTACTTTGTGGTTACCTAGTTCTCCCAGCATCATTTATTGAAAAGGGATTCTTTTCCCAGTGTATGTTCTTGTTTGGTTTATTGAAGACCAGGTGGCTGTAAGATGTTAGTTTCATGTCATGGTTTTCTATTCAGTTCCAAATATCACTGTCTCTATTTTTTGCCAATACCATGCTGTTTTGATTACTATGGCCTTGTAGTATAGCAGAAAGTCTGGTAGAGTGATACCCCAGCTTTGCTTTTATTACTAAGAATTGCCATGGTTATATGGGGTTTCTTCTGGTTACATACAAAAGGAAGAATTGTTTTCCCAATCTTGAAAATATGGTGTTGGTATTTTAATGGGGATTGCATTGAATCTGTAGATTGCTTTGGGAAGTATAGACATTTCCACAATGTTGATTCTTCCCAGACACCAGCATGGCATATTCTTCCATTTGTTAATATCTCCTGCTATTTCTTTTCTTAGGGTTTCATAATTTTCTTTCTGGAGGTCTTTCACCTCTTTTGTTATGTATGTTCCTAGGTCTGTCTGTCTGTCTGTCTTTCTTTCTTTCTTTCTTTCTTTTAGTGAAGATACTGTGAAGGGAACTGTGTCCTTGATTAGCTTCTCGTCCTTGGCTGCTATTGGCATATGTAAAGGCTACTGATTTCTGAACATTGATTTTATATCCTGAGACATTACTGTATTTTTTGATCACATCCAGGAGTCTTGTAGTTGAGTCTTTGGGGTTCTCTAAATATAAGATCATATCGTTGGCAAAGAGAGCCTCCTTTTGGATACCCTTTATTTCCTTCTCTTGCCTGATTGTATTGGCTAGAACTTCCAGCACTATGTTGAATAGTAGTGGCAATACAGGACAACCTTGTCTGGTTTCAGTTCTAAGTGGAAAAGCTTTCAGTTTTACTTCCTTCACTATAATATTAGCCGTGGTTTGTCATAGATGGCTTCAATCAGTTTAATAAATGTGCCACCTATGCCTATATCCTTAAGTGTTCTAATTCGAAAAGGATGCTGAATTTTATAGAAAGCTTTTTCTGCATCTATTGATAGGATCATATGGTCTTTGTTTTTGGTTCTTTTGATATGTGAATTACGTT